TTGCAGTGAACAAAAAGAAATTGGAGACTCACAATTGCTCCTTTTTCACTGCTGTTCATCAGACAATGTTTTGAACCAAATTGATACAGATCAAAGGTACTTTGTATCAAAGCATTATCTGATTTAAAAACAGTATAAAAGGAGTGAGTGGGCAAGATGTCTTTCATTTCTACTTCAGCATTTATTAACATTTTTATGAGTGTAATGTGAAATGTTTAAGTAGTGCTGAAAAAGACATGAGTACGTTCAGAGAAGAGGCAGAACCAGTGGCCGGACCATCCAGAGCTGGTTCAGATGGTATGTGCCATTTAGGGAAAGTGTTAGAAATATTAAGAATTCATAGTTTCTTCCTCAATAATATGTGTTTGTATGCCTCAGTACATTGGCTTTCCATTTTTAGGGTGGTTGACTGTACCAAATCCATCTCTGGCAGTAGCTGCATGTGCGGAGCATTATCTGCACATTCATAAAATGGAACGTTCTTTATATCTGACTATGGATCTTCGGACAAGTCCTGCAGAACAGGATATGGCGCTTATTTCATTCTACAAGTGTCCCAATGTGATGTGGGATGCACACTTCATGGTAAGGATTGCATTTTCATGACTTTTCTCCTTCATATCCTTTCAAACCCTGCACACTTTTCCAGGTGATCCAGTGGTAGGACAGGGGCTTAAGCGCTTTTTCTTCTCAAAAATTATGCACAAGATAAAATGTGGATTTTGCATCAACTTTGGTGAGTATTTGAAGTCAGTGGAAAATGTTTATAAACAAAAGAAGTGATTAAAGTATATAGTGAATTTTGATAAAAAATCACTATAAAAATTCACTAGGCTGGCTGATTTGAGGTATTGCATTCATTTGTGTACAGATGACATTTGTGTCGCAGTAACATTATTGCTGGATTAAAATGAGACAAAAGGTAAATTAAAATGAGTTCATGAGGCTAAGATTGTGATAAAATCTCCAGATATTTTGGCGTGGTTCAATACAAATGTTCTCATGATCTGTCATGGAACTCCTCGTGTGACTGTGTGTCTGCACAGATTTTTAATAATAATTAAAAAAAAATTCAAAGACCACAGTAAATCTTGACAAAAAAAAAAAAAAAAATTGTCACACTAAATCTAGATTACACTTTTCTGCCAAAAAGAACAATGTCTATGTAAAGTTGAGCTACACCAAACTAGATTAACATAATTTTACACATTTTGACATAATTATCTTTTTGGAACAGCTAACACCACTATGACGAGATTATTCGAAGGAGAGTCTGGCCATTTGGTTCCATCTGCCTCCCACTTTCTAGTTGAGAGCGACATGTTTATTGTGGTTGGAAGGATGCTCGGACACAGCTTTCTGCACGGTGGCCCAGGCTTGTCTGGACTGAGCCCAGCTTTGCTCCACGTGCTGCTTGGAGGAAGTCCTGAAACTGCAACGGTGACAGTAAAAGATTGTCCAGATCTTGACATCAGAGAAACCATCTCTCTTGTATGCATTTTATGAATGTCATAGGACATACTGTTACATACTTGTGGTGGCTATGGCAAACATTTTAATTCTGGTTTACCTGTTTTTTTTTTTTTTTTTTGTCTCAATCCTAGCTTGAAGCTCCAACACTTACTGAAGAGGCCAAAAAAAGTATCCTGGACTTGGCATTGGTCTGGGATCTGCCCGGTCCAACTGAAAATAATAAAAGATGGCTTTTTGAAAAGCTTCTCATGCATGCAGTATGGAGAAATAATATTAAGCTATACACTTTGAATTAATTTTTAATAGTTTTTGTGTAGGTTATTGGCCGTGTGACACGCCAAATAAAGCAGCTTAGAAGAGGTCTTAAAGAGACCCCAATGTGGACTGCCTTGACTCAGCGCCCGGATACAGCGGCTGTTTTGTTTCCAAAAGCGAACATAATAAGCCCAGAGGTGATTTGACAATGAATTTGCCATTGATGTTTGGTGGCTATATCTATGTTACACCCAGGGTTTCACAAACTGGCTGTGACCCCAATAAGTTTTTTTTTTTTTTTCCATTACTCCTAGGCCTAGTCACATGGCCAACTGTGACAGCAAATTATGAAGATGAGGAATGCTCAAGCAACGACATAACTCGTGTGTGTGGTTTTCTTCAGCAGTTCATTATGAAATGGTAGGTTATGGTTTTCCGTCTGTCAAGACAACAATGTAGTATTTACTATACACACTTCTACACCACAGCAACACCTGAAGAGCTGAGTGAACTGGTAAAGTTCTGGACAGGATGGGAAGTTCTTAACGGAAATCTTCTCGTTGAAGTGACCACTGGAAAGTTCCCAACATCCTCCACATGCTTCGAGACACTTCGCCTCCCTGGCCATTACACAGAATATTCAATCTTTAAATTAGATTTGAATCACGTTAACACGTGCGACACTGGCTTTGGCCTAATGTAAATGTGTTCATTAATCCAGTTCATTGATGTATTTTTGGATCAATGTATGTTTTTTTACATTGATAATTTGTCCCGTTCCATTAGGGCTGCTAGATTAATCTATCGAATCGACATCTAAATTATTAAAATATTAACCCTGAGGGCTCAGTTTCATGAAGCTGAAATGAGTATCACTGCAAGGTATGAAAGCATGTGACAATAAGTAGTTGTCTCCACAATTAAAAGAATAATGCATAATTTAGCATTGCTGAGGTTAATCAGACAACTCAATCACAATTTTGATCAAGAAGTTGTGGACAATTACTATTACATTTCAAATGTGTTGGGCAATTGTGCAGCCTAACTGTTCATAATGTTCACAGAAGCAGACGAGTTAAACAGCAAAGTGTTATGACCTCATTTTATGAAACTCATTCTGTGGTTAGAAATCAAATAAACATTTACATGAATTTTACTGTCTAAGATTGTTTGTATGAGAAGTTTACAAGCAGTAAATGGCAAGGCCAAAGTGTACAGGAGTCGAGTTTAAATGCTGGGTCTGAAACAACGTAGAATTAGGCTTAAATCAAAGCCTACTGAAGTAGTTACAATTCCATTTCACTTTTACCAATGTATTTAACAAACATCTTATCCCCCTCTTAAAAATGTGAAGCCACTTGAAGGGCCTGCAGGTAAATATCCCGTCCAAAACACACAGACTCTGCCGTAGGGCTTATCTGCTGAACTGCAGCAAGGCCCTCAGTTGTCAAGGGACATGACACCTCGTCCACTGTCACACCATAATGGTGGTTCTCTCCATTTCATCCATCCATTTTCTACCCTTTAATCCATTTCTGGGTCAGGGGGGTGGCAATCAGAGATGCCACCCAAGTCTCATAGCACCAGCCCCTCACTGACCCTCTGCAGGTGGTGAGTCCACAGGAGGACGGCTGCTCTCTGAGTGTGAGTATAGCCTTGATCTTTCAGTGGGGGCTTTGGGCAAAGTGGGGTTAAGTGTCTTGCCTAAGGACACAACGACAGCAGTCATCAGTGGGAGTCTCTCCATTTCAGAATCTTCCATTTGTTGTATCTGCAAAAAAAAAAAAAAAAATCTTAATATTCCCCATAATTTGCTTAAAATATAGGTTTAGCAAATCAGAGTGCATTGTGAGATTTAACAGTCCAATTACACTTGAGGTGGTAGAAGATGTTTAGCCAGATTTAAATTGTTAGGAGGCGTGGCTCACTAACAACTCTCACATGGCATAATCTGTGGATGGACTCCTCATGTGTGTGTTGTCTTTACACAGATCTTTAGTCTCAAGTATGAACAATCCTCTAGTGTATGGCCACCTTTTAGACTACATATGCATTCTACTCCACAATCAAGGATAAGAGAATCATCCTTGATTGTAGACATTCAAGGATGATTCAGCATTTTCAGTCATTTTGAAATGTAGTGTTCTGAGCTATTTTTGTCCAGTACTTAATCCCATTTCTGCTATGTATGTAAAAGCAATACAATGGATTTAAACATACTGGTGAAGAATCCGGTTCTGCCACTGGAACTTGAAGCATCCCAATTGTCCAAAGTTGGTTGGGAGTCAAATTCCCCTCAGTGCTGAGGGGGTGGCAGTCCCATGTATTGACAAAATAATGGAGATCTGCTTGTAGACGTGGTATGTACACATAGTGCATGCAGAAGACATGAAGATCACATGTCAGATCCAGTAGGCCCTCTTCCTCTGGAACATGGAGCTCATTATAGTACTGGGAAGTTACCCCAGTCCAGACATCTCTCCATAGACGCTCCACTCTGAAAAAATGTCCATGAAAATACAAATACTTGAAATGAGTGAGAAATAAATGTGACTATTACCGTTGGTTATGGACACTTCTCCCAGCAATGAAGCTACCACGGTTAGTTCCACGCACTTCAAACATGTATCTGGCAATGTCCACATTTTCAACTCCTATCTGCACGGACTCTGAAAGGAAATGTTTAGGTTTTGTCTTGGATATTGAAAAAATATATTCAGGCTATTATTGAAAGGTAAACGTTGTTTTCTTGAATGTATGGGCCTAAGCATAGAGTATCTTTTTAAACTTACACACATGCACACATCTATCATGCCCAAATAAAAGCTTAAAAATATTCACCTTGATGGACAACCATGTCTTCTCACACCCTCCATGAAGAAGCCCAATGCTGTCGCAGCTTTGTTGTTTGCAGCCGCATTCAGGAACATAATCTTGAATTAAATTAAAAGAAAATTTCAATAATCTTGAGAGACAATAGATTTATCTCATAATACTGAAGGACAACAATAATCTTACCTTTCTTGAAAAACCATCAATGCCTCCAAAAATCACAATACTGTACTTTAAAAGATATCATGAAACAAACTCAAACAGGTCTGTTTATAGTCACAAATATACAAAATACTGACATATACCTTATCAATTTATGATTGGTGTCAATGTGGACTAGGCTTAGAGGAGCAGGAACACTGTATGTCCGCCTGGCCACACATGTAAGCTGCACCATTCTTGAAATGACACCTGCACTGTCCACTTGCTGCAGTGATGCCTTAACTCTGGCCCATGGCCTGTAATGCCCCCTTCACAGTTCTGTAGCCCGCGTCTGGCATTCTGGACTTCACTGAACGGACTTCAATATCGAGCTCATCATCTGGGATGTCTGAATAGGTCCCTCTGACAGACAGGTCGTGTTCTCGCATTCTCTTACAGAGAGTTGACCTGGAGACACCATGAATTTTCGCCATAGATTCCATGGGCAATCTCATGGCTATAATGCTCTCCAATGTCTCTTTGTTAATCCCAAGTCTAGGTCGCCCGACTCCCCCGTTCCACTCAGCAACTCCCACATCCTCAAATAGAGGTGCAGGCCTTTCGCTTGACAGACAAGACTGGAGCATTTCGGAGATTTGATTAAATCCATCTAAGACAACTTGCGGGATATCAACATACACCCTAGCAGCACTGCAGAACTGTAGCTCTTGACTAATGACCGACTGAAGATATATCATGTCAACCGGCTCCCTGGCTATCACTGCGGCAATCCTCTCTCTTGTCCTTTCTAAAGACTGTCGTCTAATTGTTTCCTAAGGAATGAAAAAAATGGAATTCACATTAAACTGGCCTCAAAATGACAATTTTAAAGCAGTGTCTCCCAAAGTGGGGTCCGCGGCCCCCTGGTGGGCCGCGAGGGTACTGCAGGGGGCCGCGGGAGGTCATAAAAAAAAATATATATATATAATTATTTAATGTTAAATTTATAATGTTTTGTTTGTAATATTAAAATATTTGTGTTCATTATTTGACTTGAATAATCCACTGTAATCATTTTTGTATTACAATGTTTGTAGCAGAGGCTATTTCCCCAAAATAAAATAACCAGAAGAGCCTATTCTTAATGTTGTCTTCTTGGTTATTATTTTGGGGGGCCACGCAGACCCATCAGATTTTTAAGGGGGCCTCGGTGTTACTGAGTTTGGGAATGGCTGGTCTAAAGCAAGAGGGTTCTCACTTTTCATGGTTTATTGTTCTCTAATGTTCTCATGTTCTTGTTTTACAGTACAACCCTTCTCATCCTCAAAACCTGAAGCACTTCTTCTCATCTCCTGCATCCCTTAAGCATCTCATTGAATTTTCCACTTGGATATTTGGAGTATTTTGGGTGTGAAGATTGAGTTCCTGTCAGTCGGAGGCAGCTCTTCCTTCATTGTGCATCAACACTTATCTATTGTTAAAACAAAGGCATGGTTAGGGATGTTTGTAAGCTTTGCACACATGCAAACACATGTGACATTAACATAACATTCAGAGCATTAAACTTACAGATATGAACAGTTCACATCATGACAAAACTGGAGCAGAGCTGGGTCAGTCTCTGAGATCAATGTGAGGCACCGAGACACTGCAGGGGTTTCAAACAAGGCTTTATGTCTATTCTTTTTTTAATCCACTTTTAACATTCTGTGCCATTACCTTATGACTTCATGTGTTTTAATAAAGAGATGATTTATAACAAATAATGTTGACATGTAAATGGAATCTTTTCAAAGCTTCTTCTGGGAAGGTTGTCTTTGGTATTACTGTGAGCTAAAGCTATTTTTGCTACATTTTAATACCATAATTTAATACTTTTTATTTCTATTTTTGTTAATTGGCTACTACAGTGAATGCTACCTATATTAAGTTTTCTAGTTGGGGGAAAGAAGAATTTAGAAACTTTAATCCTAAAAATTATTAAAACAATTCAAGTGTGCTTGTGGCATTTTGAGAGTGTAAAAATATATTTAAAAAACGAAATGACCAGGGGAAAATTGTTATTAAGACAAGATCTTTGTTAATGCAAAACTGTTGAAATATATAGTCATTTCGGAGCCCACGCGCCAGCGCCGCGGAGCCGTGAGAGAGCGATGGAAACCACGGATCTATTCGAGTGGAATCTGTACAAACTCTGGAACTGAGCAGTCCGACTCAGGATAATAGTTCCGGTTGGCCGCGACTGGCTGCGGGCGCGGGGGTGAGGGTCTTTGGGTCCTGGTCGGGTTGGTTGCTCCGGGTCTTTCGATAACGTGCTTGCCCTCCTTGCGGTTGACCATGAGGATAACCTCCTCTCCGGAGCGCCGTGAGTACAGGCCTCCTCCTCCTTTAGACGAAGCAGTGGACGAGTCACTGTCTCCAGAGAGACGTCTGGTCAGCGGCAGCGCCGAGTCCCTATTCCTGCAACACAAACACACAGGTTCACAAACATTTAAAACTTGAGTCTCCAGCAAATACCTCAGGAGCTGGTATTGTAGATTATTGATTCTTTCATTCTGTTATGATAACTGCTTGTGCAGTAGAGCACCTTGGATGCAGTTAAAATGCACTGTACAACTTCCCTGGTGGTGGTCACCTGTTTGTGTCTAATGTCAGTTTGGCACTAACGCCCTGGAGACGAGCTGGTCCACTCACCGTACAAATTCAGGTTTATGAGCAGTAATATATTAGTAAAAGTATATTATAATACATAACAATAACATCCCCATGGTGGGTGCGGTCAGAAGATGTGCAAAGTGCATCTTTAAGGACGTGCTGTTTCCTGGGAGCAGAGTGACCGAGAGCCGGAGCACCTCTGTCCTGTCACGCAGCGTCTCTAACGCTGCGTCTCTAACGCTGCGTCTCTAACGCTGCGTCTCTAACGCTGCGTCTCTAACGCTGCGGCTCATATAAAGTCAGGCCAGTGTGAGAAGATGACCAAAAGTACGGACAGAATTCGAATTCTTTAGTACACCTACATAATGCCATTCACGTCTTCACTGGGGCAGATTCACATTAACGTCTTCACTGGGGCAGATTCACATTAACGTCTTCACTGGGGCAGATTCACATTCACGTCTTCACTGGGGCAGATTCACATTCACGTCTTCACTGGGGCAGATTCACATTCACGTCTTCACTGGGGCAGATTCACATTCACGTCTTCACTGGGGCAGATTCACATTCACGTCTTCACTGGGGCAGATTCACATTCACGTCTTCACTGGGGCAAAGCAGAGCTGGAGCTGTCTGAAGGCCATGGCACCTGCTGGAGCAGGATTAATGGCCGTCTGATGTCTGAGCCTCTGCAGGTGCACTCACTACATACTGTTGTGCAGGACTGCAGCCAAACTTGTCACTTCAGAATTGATTACTGAAGCATTTACAGTACCTTCAGAGACAAGTGAGGCTTAAACAAACTTGGACAGGGATCTGCTGAGAGAATGTCTGTTCACACCACTTTAAACAGAGCTAGAACACACAGCAGCATTTACTTTAAAGCATTGATTTGACTGTGACACTGTGTGTAATCATAGACTGTATATATTAATGTGTTAATGGACACATGATGCAACACATGAATGGAAACACTCCAAAGCCAAAGGCTAATTTACATTTGTCGTCGCAGATGAGGTTTTCTTTTTTTAATCAGTCTGCAGCAGATATTGTCATGTTGTAGCTGCTGCTGAGGCTGCACTGGTTCATGAAAGTCTACTGCAGATGGAGTTCATGATAAACGAAAGGGATTTCACCATAAAACCAACAACCCAAAGGAGAGACTCACATGAGCTCATTCTGCTGTACATGCTACATGGTCCTATAGACAACACCAACACTGCAGGACACATGAGAACAAATGGCTGGTTATCACTTTTTTAAAGAAGAACAAGGAAAGTTAGCGATACATTTTCCCAATCTCTTTTCCTGAGTTTTAGTTGGTCACACACAAGTTGTTTAGAGTGTGCATGTTTGTGGAACTTAACGCATGGAAGATATCATGTAATTTTAATGTTGTAAATGTGGGTTACTCCTCTCTGCGATGGTGCACGTGGTGCATTGTCAGTGGAGTGCAGCGTACCTGAGGCTGTTGAGCTGGCGAGGCTCAGAGCGGTCCTGAGGTGGGCGGGGCATCAGGTTGTGGGTGGGGCAGTCTGCCTCAGAGGAGCGGCTGGGGGAGGAAGCCTGAGCGGCAGGTGCCAATTGGCTCGTTCTTCCAGTGGGGCCACTGGGCTTGTGGAGCGAGATGACCTGAGCACTGGACGACTTGCTCTGGGGCCCTTGAGTCTGCCCCCCGGCTTTGTTCTGGTGGTACCTGTGGGCTGCACACCACATACAGCAGAGGGAGTGTGAAAGCCTGATCCTTTATCCCCACATTGTAGTGTGTCATTATGGTGTGTGTGAAAAGATGGTGGTCGAGAGGACAATGGCACAGGATAGAGTCTTGCTTCTATTAGTCTGCCCAGGGGCAGCTGAGGCTGCAGTAGTAGCTTACCACTTCCATGTACCGAGTGGTAATGTGAGGCCTCTTTGCATTTCTATAAAAGCTCATTTATAAAAACAATTAACATTTGATGTTATTAAGAGCAGAAGTCATACATTTGGATTTGTCACTAGTGACAACTGTGAACATGTGTTTATATGATCTTCATCTCTGCTCAGTGTTCTCAAGCCCTGTCCCGGGGGACAGTAAGTGATGGGAGACTCACAGAAGGCGGCACAGCAGCACGGGTCGTGTTTGTCCAGGTAATGCTCCAGCGTGGTCCCTAGCCTCCCCCACCCGCACCATCACGTGGGGTGCGCAGGACCTGCCGCACAACACGACACATGGACATTCGACCTCAAATATTTTCACTGGTCAGAAACCCTTAAAAACTGAATAAGTAGAGAAGAACATAGTGGAATGCAAATGGAGCTCCCCCCCTCGTCATCGTCATCGTCATCGTCATCGTCCCGCTGTGATGGTAGCGGCTGGTGCTCTCTGACCTCAACATTCTCCGCTGGTTTGAAATGACTGTGTCGTGTAACGTTTCTGCTGCTTACTTTTCTCACCACTGGAATGACTTTTGTCTTTGGAAAGGGTAGCTTGATTTTTTTAGAATCTGTTCGTGTTCATTGTGGGAGATGATCGGGTGTTCCGATGATAAAGAGGCCGAATCCATTCCCAGTATATGTTACCTCCTCACTTGTTGACATTACATCTGGTATGAAATCTGCTATCGTTTCTGTTTTCAAGAACTTTTCTCCCGGTACAGTCTCAGGAATGGCCAACACCTCTTCTGGCCTTTCAGTGCGTGGTGGACCCACCCATGAGCTCTTACAAACATTTAGTGTCTGTTCCGTTTCCTGAATATCAGTGTATTCTAGGGGTGAAATTGTGGGACTAGTTACTTTTGACCCTTGGCACAAAGTTGTTCTTGCCATCTCGTTTTCAAAGCCCTCCTCTTTTGATATATTATATTTTGATGTCCGTAAGCCTTCATTTGGAGATTCCCCATTGGATATTTCATTGCTACTTGGCAACTGAACACCCAACGGCGGGACTGGGCTATTTATCTTCAAATCCTGAGACTCAACTGTAGCTTGGTTTCCATGCTCTGCTTCATGAACTTTGAAATTACCAACTGGTTCCAAACAGCGGTTATGGGTGGATTGGAACATGGTTGGGCAATCCTCTTCTGACTCGTCCATATATGTCCCAGAAGATCTTTGAGTTTTGAAATCCTCATCTACACTTATAGCCATGTAACCTGTTTGTTCTAAGTCTGCTTCTTCTTCTTCTGTTTCTGTTTCTGAATCCACCTCTTGAGAATCAATGGTGGAGTCATTACTAAAGCAAATGTCTCTCCAGTTACTGACATGAACAATTCTTTCTGGTGTAAAACTGCAGACATCAGCAGGTCCATCAGAGTCGGAAGATATTGGAAAACAACTTGAATGCCAAGATTGTACACTAGAATTTGCGCTAGAATCTGAATCCTCATAACTCCAAATAAGTGACATAGAGTTGAAATGCATCACTAGAAGATACTATTGAGGGTGAAAGCCAATCAATATGAAATCGCTTTTGTCTCTTGGGTTTCTGTTCCTCTGCGATTGGATCATAACATGGTGTGAAGGCCAACAACTTCTCAGAATCTGCAACATAACTCCTGTCTCTAAAGTGGCTCAGGGTGATAAAAGGGTGCTCCAGTGCTTCAGTCGGCGTGATCCTTTTCTCTGGATCAAACTCAAGCATTTTCCTCAGCAAATCCAGAAACGCCCTCCTGTCTTCATATTCCATTCCTGACTGAATTTCAAAGGAATTGAGAACGGCGTCATCGAGCCCTGTGGCAGCTTCAAGAAAGTTCTGGTCCAATTTAGGCATTTTTCCATCCAGGTCCCTGTATTCACTCGGGGTCTTCAGCCTCCATTTACCATTTTTCTCCCGGACAAAGTAGGAGGTTCCGTCTTCAGCCCGCATAATTAAATCACCATCAGGCACTCCCAAAAGATGAGTGATTTGGCGGAGACTGTCATACGAGTCTTCAACATTGAACGGAAAGATTTGCAAATACCATTCAAGAAGACAACAGGCCAGACTCCACATATCAATCGCCCCCGTGATCGGCAGGCCCAGGGTGACCTCTGGAGAACGGTAAGCGGCTGGCTGCAGCCTCTCTCCTATTTCTACCTGCTCCTTAAGGACAGCCACTCCAAAATCTATAAGTTTAACCTTGAATGGCTTGTTTTTGTGGTCCACCAGCATAATATTATCTGGTTTTATGTCTGTATGGATGACACCGACCGTCCGCAATCCTTTTAAGGCGACCAGCATATCCCTGGCCATTGGGCGGATTTCGCTCAGAGAAAATGAGGAATCTCTTTTTGTCATCAAATCAAACACACTTTGGTCCAACATTTCAAATTCCATGAAAAAGTCCCCATTCTTGGACTGAAACCAGTCATTTAAATTAATCAAATTAAAGTCTGGATCCAGGCCTTCAAGGGCTTGGAGCGCAGTCAACTCTTGCATCATTGCCGAAGCAGAATCCTCATGCCTTTTGATATGCTTCACGGCCACAATGTTTCCTGTCTCCTTATGGACACATTTAAATACTTCTCCATAAACACCTTCTCCCAATTTCTCCAACACCTCGTACGCATCCAGTGTATAAACTGCTCCACTCATGTTTAGGATGTGTAATTTACCAATAGATACGATCAAAAGAGTTTATCCGAATGCTCTAACCAACGTGCGATAAGAACCAGCGACCAACGTAGCTCTCAGGAACAATGTGATTTGACAAGGGGGGGAACGGCTGTATAGGTAAAAAAAATTTGTCAAGCATCGATGATGTCACCGGGTTCTAGCATCACATAAAGATAGTGGCCATGACAACCGTTGCTATGGCAGCAAGCATCCAAATGGAATCCTGGAACCACAGAAGTTCCGGTGAGCATCTGCATATGACCATATAAGGAAATAGAACACTTCCAGTTCCAGCATCCATGTTTTGGTTTACAAATTTGACTGAAAACTGGGGCTGGATTATTTGTAACTAATTGGTTGTTAAAATAGTTGTCAACTAATTCACTCTGATTGTGATGATTTGTGTTTGAAATATAACATAGACTGTAAGTCCTAAGTAGCTCTGAAACAGTTGTTGTTTGGTGCTTTACAATTTTTATTTGTATTGCTTGTTTCTGCCTGAGATGTTGCTGCAGTACAGTTTTCATGGTTTTACACTGGTCCAGACCAGAGCAGAGAGGATTCATGGTCTGAACCAAGTGTATACACCCAGCAGAAATGAATTATTAAATGCAACATATTATGAATGATAGCAGTGGTTGTAGGAAGCTATAAATTGCCGAATAGACAGGTTTTTGAATTTGAAATGATAAAATCGTTGAGCCGCTCTGGGGAGATCTCAAACGTGCAGTTCATGCAAAAACTTTACAGGAATTTACAGGAACTGGAGGCTTTTTGCCAAGAAGGATGGGCAGCTTTACCATCAGAGGAAAACAACATCATCCACAACTGAGGGATAGAGATTTCTTACCAGGAAGTGACTGTAATCAAGGTTTTTGGCGTTATCGTTCATAATCTGCAAAATATGGACCCCAATATGAGAAAAATCCGGCCTGTGTGCGTAAACTTTCAACCAAGGCATAAGTGTCTTACATCACCCCTTTGAGAGAGAGTGAAGGACTGAGCATGTTTGTTTTGGCACTGTGAACGTGCACGAGTAGAATGGATGGGTGGGGGTGAGGTGGGGGTGTGGTGGGGGTGAGGTGGGGGTGTGGTGGTGGGGGGTGGGGGAGCAGGACCGGAAGCCAAGGAACAGCATGATAAGAGGCGGAGGTGAGGGTCAGACATTGAGCATTGAGCAAGTTCTTATGAAATACTTGTGGAGCCTTATGCCTTGATAAAACCCTTGCTATACAATAATAAAAGTATTTACACACAAATCATTCATCAACCACATTCCAAGCCTGTTGGTCAGGTGGTTAAAGTTCAGTTTGGTGCCGTTTCACAACAGTCACACGATTGACCATGTATATACAGTACAAGCTAGTGTTAGAAAAAGCTGGGCATATCAAAACTAGAGTTACAATAAATATACTGTATATTAGGAGTGGACAGACCAGGTGCTGTCGTAAGCTACCTGGAGCTAGCTTCATGCCGCAACAGGAGCAGACGTGTTGCTAACAAGCCGAGTTTCCTCCCATGAATGATGTGTATCTGATCGGTCAATGCTCAAATGGCTGATATCTGGGTTTACCAAGACAATATCACAATAAACTTAACCACAGATACTTTAAGCCCAATGTCGAGTCTGACCCAAACGATTTAAAAGCTCAGAGTCAATATGAGCCTGAGCGAGTTGGAGAAAAACTTTGTCCATGAGTACTTCTCTATTTGGGCTACATTGAGCTGGGGGTTAGCATTGTCCATCTATACAGTCTACTCTATGCCCTATACATAAAACAAGATCTTTGAAGGTGGTGAAAATCTCAGTCCACTTCAGTTTGCATAATCTAGAGTCCCAGGCACCGGGCTCCAAACCCAGGCATTCCACTTCTTTGGTGCTTGCCCCGTCATGTCCGTGCTCATGTTTATTGTACACAGTGAATGTGGGTCACACCAGATCCTCTCGTGGACTTTCATTTTGTTGTGTGCGGGGTTTCTTTATGGGAATAACATGGCTGAATCCAACGTGAATGGATATAATCATAGCGTCTGACGAGAAAAGCAGTTCACCCTGAATCAGAATCATTTTTTATTGGCACTGTGAGTAACAGGAAGTCACAAACACAAAGACATTGCTTTGGTTCTCGATGCAAACAAGTAAAAACATAATACATAAAAGGACTATTACTACATACAAGGGCAGTAAGTACACACACAAGACAATAGAAGAAGTTGGCAATGCAACTTGTGCTGATAAAGGTTTTTCAATGATTATGAGTTATTATAGTTAATTTACTTTATTAGTTTTGAATGGCAAACCTCTGAAACCTCTGACTGAAATAGGCTTCTCTTAAATATGTTCATAGACAGTGGGCGAGTTCAGAAAAAACATCCAGGAGCGGTGACCTCATGGTGCGGTCGCCACGGTAACAGACACACACACACACACACACACACACACCGTTATCATCAGCCCGTTACTGTACTTCTACATTTGTATTCACAGCTGAATCACTGTCCTCAGGCCTAAATCTGTGTCAATACTGGGAAAATAAATGCACAAAATCAACCGCTTACAATCTTGAGTTATTTGTTGCAAAACATGAGGTTCTATATAATAAATACAGAAAGGAAGAGCACCATGAAGAACCCAGAGACTGTTGATACTCTTTCTCAGAACTACTCTTTCTGCTCCGTTCAGCTGGGCATGACCACAGTCTTTTTAATTTACAGTGACTATCTACTATGACTACCTGGATGATTTTAATGTTTCCCTTCTTGGCTTTACATAGATAAACTTTCCTTGCCTTTCCTATGGTGCAGCTTTATTCATTACATTACATTAAATAACACGCACACAGTAAACATTTTTTTTATTTTCTTTATTGCGCAAAACATCCAGCTGACTGTTGTTGTCAGTAACTAATATAATTACATGGTCGCGTGTTGTTACATGCTTTGTGGACTTAAACCAGACTGTTGTTGTAGTTGTGTCTCACTCTGTAAATAAGATGTTGAAACTTCTCTATTTTTGTCCTTTTGTCAGTGAGCTCTTTGGTCTCTCTACGGTCTCTCTTGGGTCTTTTCTTAGGTCTTTTCTTAGGCCTCTCTTGGGTCTCTCCCGGGTCTCTCTCGGGTCTCTCTTGGATCTTTTCTTAGGTCTCTCTTGGGTCTCTCTTGGGTCTTTTCTTAGGCCTCTCTTGGGTCTCTCATGGGTCTCTCATTGGTCTCTCTTGGGTCTTTTCTTAGGTCTCTCTTGGGTCTCTCATGGGTCTCTCCCGGGTCTCTCTCGGGTCTCTCTTGGATCTTTTCTTAGGTCTCTCTTGGGTCTTTTCTTAGGTCTCTCTTGGGTCTTTTCTTAGGCCTCTCTTGGGTCTCTCATGGGTCTCTCATGGGTCTCTCTTGGGTCTTTTCTTAGGTCTCTCTTGGGTCTTTTCTTGGGTCTCTCTTGGGTCTCTCATGGGTCTTTTCTTGGGTCTCTCATGGGTCTTTTCTTGGGTCTCTCATGGGTCTTTTCTTGGGTCTCTCATGGGTCTCTCCCGGGTCAGTGAGGCTAATCTCATTAAGTCATAGCCAAATTGTCTGAGATATTCCTTATTCTGTGTAAACGATCGACTGTTGATTATTCCATACTGTGCAGATGTTTGTTTTGTGCCTTTGTTCTTGTTCTGTACTACTTTCATCGTGATAGGTCAAGTTTGATTGTAATTGACTTTTGGAGGTGGTAGTGCACATAAGCTTTTTGCCCCAGCCCACTCCTTTTGTACAGTAATATTGTTCAAACAAATAAATGCATCCAGCTCCAGCCATTTTGTTGTAACAGGAATACCTTCTCATATCAACCAACTGTTGCTGTGCTAAGGCTTCCAAGGATATCAGAGGCACGCTTGGACAGGAGTCATGTGGTGAGGGCAATGGCCTATAACCATTGTCTGGGACTCTCCAATTGCCCTACATTATGTTATCTGAGATTTTCGCCACATCCTCAAACATTTTCACTGGTCAGAAACCCTTAAAAACTGAATAAGGAGGAACTAATGAAGTCCAGAACTGGCTTGATCAGAGAAGAACATAGTGGAATGCAAATGGAGCTCCCCCCCTCGTCATCGTCATCGTCATCGTCATCGTCCCGCTGTGATGGTAGCGGCTGGTGCTCTCTGACCTCAACATTCTCCGGCTGGTTTGAAATGACTGTGTCGTGTAACGTTTCTGCTGCCTTACTTTTCTCACCACTGCTGGTTTGAATGACTTTTGTCTTTGGAAAGGGTAGGCTTGATTGCGTTTTTAGA